GTACTAACAATTCATTATTGCAGCGAATTTCTTTTTATGTGTGTAAAACTCAAATACAGTCAACTCTCGTTATAGCGGACACCCTCCGAACGTAGTTTGGAGTCCTTAATAGTGAGAGTCTGCAATAGTGGGAGTAATTTTTAGTCAAACCTCTATAGCTTTCGCCGGGTGAAGGGCTGGATTTTATTTTGTCCATAATAGCAGTTGACTGTAATAACAGGGTGTCTGCAAGGCAAGAGTTTACTGTACATATAACTCATTATAAACAAAACTGCGATGAACATAATAATTTTATGCACTTTACATGGATGGTGATGTTGAGTCTTCCTCTGTGATGTTAAGCTCTTGAACAAGAAATTGTCTGTCCATTGGTTCCTTGGGTTGACCTGTTTCTGGTATTGATAAAATAAAACAGGGTAATATAATATTAATTTATTGTATTCTAATAAGCAAAGGTTTGGTCATATATACATTTTAAGATGCCAAATAATTATATGTAAATTTTGCCAGTATATTTTAGGGCCATGATGATTCATTATTTTAGGTCAAGATGTATGTAATAGAAATCGTGTCTTGGAAATTAAAGAGCCACTTTTATTATAATTAATGCTGAAATAACACTAATTACAGCTTAATGCACTGTTACACGAGGCAATTTTTCCAGTAAATTTATTTGTCTCCTAATTTTGTTGCAACACAAGTTGCCCAGTGTAACACCCCTGAAATTAACATGTCTCTGCAGTAAGCGTTGCGAGAGGAATAATCAATTAAGTTCTACTTTTCAGAACAATTGAGGTAACTCTGCAACTCTGCCTAGGGTGCACACTAAGAAACGTTTTGTGAACTCGTCTCACAACGGCGCAACAAAATTGCGAGACAAGTTGCAAGAAACATTGCTTAGTGTAACAGCACCTTTAATGAAATTAACACAACTTAAAATTTCTTGGAGCACTAATTTCTTAAGGTAAGTATGGAGGTCAATAAGCGTTCAATGTACACCAACATTGTACCTGCTAACAGTACTGACTCAGTGTACTTGTATTTGTTGAATGTCAAGTATTCTCTGATAAGTTCATTGATTAACAAGTTCTCATTGGATAGTGTAGGTCTTGCTTCAGACTGAAAGTTAACAAAATACTGAATGTACATGTAGATAAATATTATTATTGACCATATTATAAAGTAGAACATCCGGCACAATTTTCATCAGGGTGAGCACAATATTGGTCAGTACCTGCCAGTCAGGTATTTTTGAATTAAAACCCCTTGATCATGATCGTGAGGTGTGTCTGCACGCACGAGAGAAAATGATTAAAAATGGTCACACTTTTTGGGCTCCTAAGTTGCTTTTTTTTACTTCAGACAATCACATATAGCTCGGGAATACTCAATGAAGTCACATTCCGTAATACCATATGATGTACCATTGCCCACCATTGCTCTATATATAATATGTCAGGCAAGCAATTCAAACAGTACTTTATAAGCTTATTTACAGATCTACAAAGCTTACTTGATCATCCAGGGCGCCAAAGACTTCTGCGCGAACTCGGGCACGTATTTGACCAAGAACTCCTCTGTTTTCTAAGGTTTCTTTTAACACTGATACGAATACGAAATACAAGCCTTTTACTTCAGCAAAACAAACATAAAGGAATTAAAACAGAATGACTTACCATTTTTCAGCTCATCCACTGTCGCCATTTTGAAAATGGCGGTAAAGTTGTTTGTATTTCAGCTGGTTCTTTGCGGGCTCAACTTTGGCATTTTGTCCAAAAATTAAACTGACGGGAGGAGAGCGAGAGGTCAGCTATGACAACAAAAGTCAGGAAAAGGCCCAATCTACCTTGATGCCTTAATTATTGATTTATTCAGCTCAAGTAATGTATGTTAGAGAACTTCTGATGATTTTTGTTCGGTTGATACTTATTGTTTTTACCAGAAAGATAAATATCCATTCAGTATACCGACCCTACCCTGGTCATATTCAAGTGTTTCAACATGTCACGGGTTATTGACAAATCGAAGCATTGCGCGAATTGCAAAATGTGAATTTTTTTACTCGACCGTCCGTCAACTGCGTGTCGCAGCGAACTTTTGGTTTCCGGAAGTTTGTAAATATTGTTTAAATGTTGAGGAATTTCATACTATGAATTCAATAACAGAGGATCCGAACAACCCAGGAAGAATTTCGCTGGCTTATCGAAATCTGACGGAACTTCCCTCAGGTGGGAACAGCAAATATGGCGATGTCAATGTGCTGGATTTGAGCCATAATAATTTGTCGTATCCTTTCTATTTAGCTAATGCAGTTTACACGTCCGTTTCATGGCTTCAATGATGGGAGTGTAGTGAATAGTTTACTAAAACTTTCAGAACGAATGCTCGTCCTCACTGCCCCTACTGCAATAAGCTTAAATTGCAACCTAGCTACCACTGGGAAACTGAATTAATCATGATCAAATCTAGATGCTACACTTGTAGTGATATTCAGTGGCTAAATCCACAGTATCCCATATAGAGATGGACTGGCATAAGACATTAATTAATTAACCTCCTTGACAATTAAGCTTAACTCGGTTTTAGATGCCATTTGTGCTGCTTTGTTCATTTAGCTGATTTTACTGCAACTACAGTATCAATGACATGCAAACTCCAAACGTTCAAAACTCAACTATCAATAATAACAGAAGCTTATTCGTGATTAGTTTCTGATAATAATTATAGCGTTTTTCACTGCCGTTAAATCATAATTATGACGACAATTTTCATTGACAACAATGAACCCTGAAAAAAATGACAAACAAAATGGATGGAAATCTACCAATTACAATTCACGGACGTGACCTTTTGAAACAGTTGAAATGTGGCTACATGGAATTTAGGCTGAGTTAAAATCGAGCCAATGCAGCCTTTATGCCTCTCTAGGGGTGAAGAGGACGAGTCTCGAGTCATTGGTAGTCAGAAGCTCTTCCCGGTGGCCACGTGCACGGATTCGCATATACGGGGTTTTCAGGGGCTTCACGTGTTTTGTGTGCCAGCTTCGTGTGGAAGCGCAGTTTGCATTTAGCTTCGTCGCGCTTGCCGTGTGCTTTGCTGCTCCCACTCCTCCCTCCCTTCTTTGGCTTGGCAAGTATTTGGTTCTGGTAAGTATTTGGGTTGGTAAGTATCTCCACTGATTCTATCAGTGTGACGGTGCCTGGTGGTTGCCACTCTCCGGGTTGCCATGGATACCTGCACGCTCTGCTCGAATCATGCCTGGCTCCACCATATCAAGGCACCTTCCCCAAGCTCATCTATTGGTGACGAGTTTAAGTGAACTTGAGAACGTCTGTTGCCTGAGACGTTCGCCAAGATGATCGAAAGCAGTGAATAACGCAAGTTCCATTCATTTTGAGTGCGCAGTTAGCATGTTATTAAAAAGCGCAGTAATAAGAAACTTTATTCAGAAAGTGTTTTGACTCAATTTACACATGTTGATATAATTTATTATCTTCCTTGACCAAAACAAGGGACTTCCAATTTCTACAGGATTTTGTCCATCTCAACACATTAATTCTGGATGATAACAACCTGACCAACCATGTGAAATTTCCATTCATGGAGTCACTTCACACATTGTGGATAAACCAGAATAAAATTACAAACCTGAGCGCTTTATTGAGACTGTAGCAAAGTGCTTTCCAAATTTGAAGTACATCAGTATGATGAACAATGAAGCAGCCCCAAGTTATTTTAATGGAGGCACCTACCAGGAGTACAAGGACTACAGGTACTGGAGCTCTGAACTTCTCCCTTCCTGGTTTCACTTACAGTATGTTCCCATTTAGTAATCTGCTTTGGCCTAAATATGGTTAGTGCCTTGACTCTGGATTGGGTGGTATGGGTTCGAGCGCTGGCCAGGGTCATTCCATTGTGTTCTAGGGCAACCCAGGCGCATATATGAGACCCGGGGGGGGGGGGGGGGGACTTCGATATAAAAGTGACAGGGGTGATCGTCGTACCTTTTAGGGGTTAAGATTTGTGGTTTGGTACCGCTTAGGGGTGTTGAAATTTAAAATGACTACCATTAGTTATTCCGGTACCTTTTAGGATATTAGCCAGAAAACAAATATGACAAGAACGAGTTTTGTATTAGGATTGGTACCTGTTAGGGTTGAACATTAATTCGAGCCACACCCAGAAAATGAGATTCTGGTACCTTTTAGGGGTTCTTTTCCAAAATTCTGATGATCACCATCATCACTTTTATATGGGAGTCCCTCCCCCGGGATATGGGATAAAATACTGTGGGTAAAATAATACTGGGGGTTTGGAAAATAAAATGTTCCTGTAATGGACTAGCATCCCATATAATACACTGCAAGGGGAGTAAGCATTACTCCTAGTCACTTCATGCTAGTCCAGAACCAGGATAAGCTCTAGCAGTGTCGGCCTGAAAGTGCTAGAAATTTAGCTTTTACCTTTTAGAAGAATAACTTTATTAAGCTCTCCCCCTTAAAAGTTAGTTACTATTAATGTTGTGTCACTTTTTATTTTTGTTACTCCATGTTTTCAAGAACAGTAATGTGCCTGTACTGTGTAATAATTTTGTTAAACATTTCACTCTCCTGCTTTCTGTTTTGTGCAAAAAAATTAACACATGACTTGTGATTGTAGATGTTATGTTATAAGCCATCTTCCAAGTTTACTGGTGCTAGATGATCATACAATCACTGCAGAAGAGAGAGAAGAGGCACGGAAAGTTTATGGCAACAGGAGACTCTCTGTCACTTCAAAGAAGCCCAGTAAGAAACATATTAAGGAAAAGGTGAGTTAATCTATTTCATTGGTACATTGTACAAGAGATCTGTCAACCTTCCTGGAGACCTCCTGGATAACTTGCCTTTTATCCGGGGTCTCCTGGGTATGGACCAAAGTTTCTAGAACAGGTTGCCAAATCTCCCAGACACAGAGGAAAATGCTTTAAAGTAAATTTATTTTCCGGTAATGTAGTTGGAGATTCGGTGCCCTAATGGTTAGTGCATTGGACTCTGGATCGAGTGGTTCAGGTTCAAGCCCTGTTGTGGTTGGGGTCATTGTGTTGTGTTCTGACCTGTGTATTTAAATACCCACCTAGTACTGTGCATTTCAAGCCGGGATAGTTTCACTGCCTAACAGGAGGCAATTAAAATTCAGGCAGCACCCATTTACACCTAAACCGGCCATAACCGGCCAAGAGGAGACAGTGGACTTCTACCACTTGTGATGTCATCACTTTCCACGCCAGAAGATGTCTTCGACATTCATCTGATAGAGTAGGAAAACGTGTAACAAAGCATGCCTAAACGAGCATGAAACAATGAATTGGGCCAGAGATAAATGTACATGTACACACAAAATAATTTCTCCTCCAAAATCGAAGAAAAACCTGACCTTCCCTACCACTGACACTCTTTGTTAAAAAAGTTCACTTTCAGCAACGTTTAGGTGGAAAAGTTTCCAACGTGAACAAAGGCGACTGAAAGGCCAACAAAACCACAAAAGAAAATGAGACAAAAAGGAGAGCAAAAATTGCAAAAAAAAAAGGAAAAGAAAAGCCTGAAGTGTGGTCTGTTTTGATTTGTGCGCTTTCCCAAATAAAATATCATTGAACCAATGGCCTCGAAGCAGAAGGGGATGTTAGTTGTCATGTTGCAAACTAAGTTTTAGACAGGTGGGCAGTAAACTGATGAGATAACGGCTCGAAATAGGCATCTGGGATGTTAGATCGCCGTTTTTTTTGAAAAAGCGCAGGTGTCAATGAGTTAACTGATATTTTCTCTTCTTATTATCTTGCAGCGGAAGAAAAGTGTGGAATAGCAGTTGTTTTCCATCCAATAGAGACAATTTATTTGAAATGAATGGCTTGCAAAGACGATTTTGTAATGGGATGTGCACTTCATGTGATGCATTAGATTTTCAAAAACAAAAATTAATGATGGAAAGGGGGTCACTGTTTCTTTTGCAACAGCAAGTAATGGTCATAATAATAAAATACATGTAATAAAAAGCTATATGGAAATAATACAATTTCATATTTACATGTAACTGACTATCAAAAAAGAAAACTTATTTTTTAAATATATTACAATTTATGGCTTAGTAAGTTGCTAGCGATTTGTAAATGGGAAATTATTCGGCAGATGTTTGTTAAGACTTGAAAAAAAAAATGATTAAATGACAAACAAAATTTACCTAGTTGTTGTGAAACCTTTGAATTGTGTTGAATTATAATAATGATCATGCAAGTCGAAATATTTACTACAAATAACTTACATTAAATTATTGGCATAGATAGCTGAAGCTATTGCCAGGGAGTGCAACACCCTGCACTATTCAAACTCGTCAAGAATTATGATTATAAATTATAAACAGGATGGCATACTTAAGCTTTTAGTAAATAGGGTATCTACATTATCAAAATCTGCAAAGTGTAAGTTCTGAATATTAAATTGATTTTTTTTAACTGCTTGTGTATGCTTTGAATTAACGGGAGAGCCTGTTGCAGGCATTTGGATAGTGGGGAGCACGAGAGAGCTGCTCTTCATGCTTGCGTGCCTCTTCGTGCCTGGAATAGGCTATGGGCTCGATTTCTTGCTTTTTTGTAAGTCTGGTTTCCATGAACCATCCACCGCCTAGTGTGCAGAGGATTCACAAAATGGCCGGGAATCCAGTGGACCAATGAAAATCAGGTATTTTGTGAGTGCTATTGGATTATTCAAAGCCTGATGTGATTACTTTTGAGCTGCTTCACTCCTTCTGGCATATGTACGCCTTGCATACCTATTAAAAGCCTGTGCACAGGCTCCTTTTGGTCGAAGATTGCCTTAGTTCCAGCACAGCTTTTTTCCAGGCCGTTAGCCATCCCCATAAAATGTTTTGTTTCCCATCGCCCTCTCTCTCGTGAAAGTGGGTCGGTTAAAAAAAAAAAAAAAAGCCGAGAACGGCTGCGTAGGAAAAGACTACCTGATCGCGGTTAGAGGCCATTTTGTAAACCAATCCCGATTTCCCGCCAAATGTTTTTTTCCGCCGACATTCTTTGCGTGCCTGCCGAGTCCCCCGAGCACGCGGTAGCGGGCCCAGTATCTCTCTTGATTAATTTATCAGGGTCTTGATGGTCAGGGTCGATCAGGGTCTCGAAACAACAAAACAGCGAGAGACTGAAGAAAGAGTTAAAGTGGAAATTCTTTTATTCTGTAAATTACAGAAAGCTACAATTATTTTAATTTGTCTATTTGTATTAAATGACGAATTTGTATACAATATGCATAAACAAGGGAGCTAATTAGAAATATTTTGTCAACGTCCGCCATGATGCCTGTTCCTGGCTCTGAGATTGTGGTGCATGGAACAGGTGAAAGGCGCGAACGAATACGGTCGAAGCTCTCTGAGCGGAAGCTCTCATAAGCGAACAGCTCTACTTACGGCCGCCTTGATAAAACCCCGTTAGAACTCTAGCCCATAGAATCTCTTTATTTACACATTCCCGTAAGCGGTCAGCTCCAGTTGCGGACACCGTTTCTGTTTCCCGAGGGCGTCCGCTTACGGGAGCTTCGACTGTAACGTATGAGCAACGACAAGTCCTCTCCGCTTTTTCGTTCAATTCGCGCGTATATATTTAAAACATTTCACTGTGTACACTTTCAATAATCAAAGTTTCCTCTGTTGTAAATCGTAGAAGTTCCGCGGAGAACCGAGATTATGACAGAGCAACGTTCCTGCAGGCTAATAATGAAAGGCATACCATTATTCGTGGGTAGAAATGCGAGAAAGTTTAGATATTAATCAGCACAATGAGTCAGTGACACAATCTATTTGGAAATTTTTTTTTTTCATAGTTCTCCCGGTCGGACGCTTTGCCACTGAACTACAGAAGATTCCGGCGTTTTCAAAATCCCAAAAGATTACTATTTTTGACTACAACAGTCGCATATACAGGTTTAAATAGTCCATAGATGTTTTCTTGTCTCTATACAGAATACTTGTATTCCGTTCCATCCGCCATAAGTAGTATAACATTCTTGTGATTAATCCAAACCAGGCGTATTAGTTTCAGCAGAGCGGGAGACATTTTAGGCGAAGGAGATACAGTGGTGTAAGACCGTACACATCGCAGAGAAGATCCTAGCATGCCAAACAGCGAAGAACCAGTCTATGTTGAGAAAAAAAAACAAAAAAAAAACGGAAATTAGCCTGAATTGCAGCCCCGTCCTCTGGTCGCTTAATACTTCCGAGAGAGAGCTCTCTCGGGCGACCAGACAACCTCGTGAGGATACGTCATGTTACTAACATGACGGTTTCTGGGTGTAAACATGGCGGAAAAAAGTATATTGTAACTTATAGAAATCCGATGTCAAAAATGTTCGTAAAATTTGAATTCTGTACAATTTCATGAATTGTGAACTTATGATAGAAGGCAAGAGATTTTAATGATCAAATTTTACTGATCGAATTTCCTCAGGATTGTCTGCAATCCGCGTATGGAAAGCAGCCTCTATAAAGCAAGGTGTGGCCATGTTTACTATTTTTATGTCTGCTTGAACTTGGCCCGTACGTATGAAGGTCAAAGAGGCTATATCCTTGAGTGAATGACAATACTACTCCTTCAGCAAGGTTGTATCCTCAACAAATCAACTGCATGATATCCAGTCCTTAGCATTACCTGCCAGAAACAGATCTTTGAGTCTCCAAAGCTGTACGAAGCAAGCACACGATCGTCAGGTGAGAACGACAGAGCCGTTACTTGCGACGAGTGAGCTGAAACCATCTGCAAAGAACAATGTAATGTTTATACATTCTGAAACCATTCTCGGACCTAAGTTTTATTCCACCTTAGGTAACAATGACCGGAACCAGATTATACACTTCGTTATTTTAACATGCATGAAGGTCATTTCACACAAGTTTATTTTATTTTAAATAAAGTAAAAGAAAGAAAGAAAACTTTTGGACACACTGGAGGTCGAGCCCGGTTGATGGCATCATACTCCCTAACCACAAGGGCTAGCTTCCAGAAGCCATAATTTTTAAACTATATATAGCGTAAATATAAATATATACAGTAGTATTACCCTAACCACAAACAAGAGCTAATCAGTGCTATTCTCAGGCTAATCGGAGCGCTGTTCGCAGGCTAACCGGAGCGCTATTCGCAAGCTAACTGGAGCGCTGTTCGCAGGCTAACCGGAGCGCTATTCGCAAGCTAACCGGAGCGCTATTCGCAAGCTAACTGGAGCGCTATTCGCAGTGAAGGAACCATGTTTCCCAGATGGGTATAACAAGATGTTGTACTGACAGCAAGTTACGGATCTTGAGCTATCTCGTGCAAGACCTGTCAATCTCCATACCTGACTGGTCACCCTCACTCTGACTGTGGCCAGCTTTGCTTACCCTGAATCTCTCCAAGGTGGACACCTCTCTAAGACGGACAGTTAGTTCCTGTCCCGACGGTGCCCGTCTTAGAGATAGTTGACTGTATTAGAAAACCGTTAATACAAGAGCGAAAATCGATCTCCAACAATGATTTTACTAATTAAGTATTACTTCTTCGCCAAGCCACGACACTGTCGAAGTTCTCTGAGGCGACACTTTCGTAAGCGGACAGCTCTACTAACGGCCGCCTTGACAAAGCCCCGTTTGAACTCTAGCTCGTACAAACTCTGTATTATTTTTACATATTCCTGTAAGCTGCCAGCTCCAGTTGCGGACACTTTTTCTGCTTCCCGAAGGTGTCCGCTTACGGGAGCTTCGACTGTATTTTTAAACTAAACTTCGCTAAACTCTTCACCAATTCCTTCCTACCTGGCAGCGCGACGATCGCAGATCATACAAAGCGAGCTGTCCATTCTTGGCGCCAACTGCGAGGCGACGAGACTGGGGCGAGTAGCTCACCATGTTGAACCTATTAAACCATTGGAATACATGTTACTATGGTTACCTTTCTTTTCAACAGTCAACTGCAATATTATATATTCTGCAGTGACCGCGAAATTGGCTCGGCTGTACACTCTGAGGAACGAAGGGAACTGGGGAGACGGCGGTAAACTAAAATATGTAA